GACGGGTCGAAGAGTTCTTCGGAATCATAGAAAACATCGGGAAAGGGTCAATTACATCGGTACAGTCTAACTCTTTATGTCCGTATCGATCTGAACTGTCATTCTGTTCTACATTCCTATCGCGAGTAAAAGAAATTTTTATCGAAATGCAAAAACAGTTTGTAAAAACAGTTTGAGTATGTACTCTCTAAATTCTTTGAATTGTGAATCTCACTCCAACAGAATGAATTTCTCTTTAAAAAATGAAAATTTTGCTACTTACCTTTTTCCAAGAGTAGCAGAATTTTTATTCTTTGGGAATGAAATTTCACTGTAAAGAAATTTGACAACAGGTCTAATACGAAAGTCGTGCAAGTAATAATTTTATTATGAAGCAATATATCCAAACGTAGTATATCTGTAATGCGAAAAGATTGTAATAAAGCAATCCTTGCGAGTTATAATGTCTCATTACAAGATAAAGAATTTGCCGCCAGCCGAAATAAGCGAAGCGACAAGAACAATATTAGCATCGTATTTTCGGTTAGGTCATCATCTCCGCTCGATGTTAATCGCGCTTCTGCCTTTCCTCCCCGCCTCCCCTGTTTGTATTTGTACAGCGACTGAAATAATCGACGGTGGAATGGTAATCGTACGCAGTTTTGAAATGAAGGGCGGTGAACCGTGGAAATGGTTCGTCCGGTGGTGGTTGGGATGTCCTTTCTGGCTCGAGCAGCACAATAATCGTGGATTTCCGTCCGCTTATTATCTTACACGCGTCACAATGCGTTTAGATTGCGTCGGGGGTATCGGCTAATTACCGGTCGCGATTTAGTCGACCGTCCCCTCCTACCGACGACGGCGTGAGACCGAAATATGTATGTATATCGAGCTGAATTTCTGATATTGAAGAACATTATTATTGAAAACTGTAAGATAAATTGAATTTGAGCGAGAATGTATAAATATGACAATACTAATATATGAATATGACAAATGCAAATGCTGTGCGATACCAGTATATACACTATTTAAATCTATAGTGTCAAATTTAACCTAACGTAAGTCGCCAATGTTTCTATTAAATATATCGTTATTTTATACTAAAACAATGTTTGTATTTGATATTATACAGTGTTAATTTAACTATCGTTCTTGTAAAAAATAACGATATATTTAGTAGGAGCGACTCACATTAGGTTAAATTTGACACTATAGGTTTAACAGTAATAGAAAGAACAATTTTGCTAAAGCATCTGAAAATTTAAATACTCTCTAAATTCCTTGGAGTAAAATCTCACTCTAAAGAGTGAAAATTGAGAGCCAATCTTGAAAAAGAGTGGTTCAATTCTCGGAAACTGTAAAAGTAACACGAATCGAAATTTTGCTCCTATTTTGAAAATAGTTTTAGAATGTATGTAGACTCTAAAGATTTATAATTAGGATTTATATGTAGATTCTAGAAATAGAGATTTATAATAGATTCTAATTTAATGAATTGAGCCTGTAAATGGCAATTATTGCAAAATTTCCTATATTTGGGTTCAAAAGAAGTTTTCTATATAATAGAAGCTGTAGATTAAGTAATATTAAGAGGTCCTATTTGATTGTTCAAATATCAAAACAAATTTATAAGATTTAATTGAAGTTGAAAGAGATTCAAAGGAATTAAAATATCAATATTTTGCTGCATTACAAATGCTGCAAAAAGTTAACATTTTAATAATAAACTTGAGCATTCTACACAATTGTTTTGATAGGCCAATAAAATTATTTTCAGAGCTCTTCTGGCTAAATTTTTAGATGCTTCAATGAAACTTCTTTCCGTGTGATATTCACAACATTCGTAATGAATAATATTTTTTAATCCTGATCTCAGATCTTTCAAATGTAATTTGGTTAATTATATTACAATATTTAGTATTTGGTTAATTATATTATTTATTCAATAATATATCATTTAATTAATTATTTAATAATGTTGCATATCATTATTTTTCGAAAAAAATCAACCAACCTTTTTTTATTAGAAAATAAATACTGAAATAATGTATTGCATACATAAAAACTTATAAATACATTATGCGATAAAAGAGTACAGAAGAGAAGTAAAGTTTTAGATGAATTATCAAATATTTCATCTACTATCGGATAAAATTGATTCCTTTAGAACTCACAGTTTCGAGAGGAAGTGTAATACTTTCTTTCGCATAATTTTACGGTACTTGGAAATGCCAATGTCTTTTGTAAATAAAAAAAAGTTTCGTTATGTGTCTGCTTCGCGATTGTTGCAACGTCCAGTCGTTTCTCTCTCTCTTTAAGTTTCAAACTCTATCGATTTTTGACGGCAAATCGTGGTTATATACGTCAAAACATGCTATTCAGGAGTCGATAACGGTATCAAAAAACCGGTTTCCGATTGAAGTAAATAGGTGCTCGTTGTGCAAAATTCGTAGACCGGGTTTTCGTCTCGGCAGGGAGACTGAAACGTCGCGCGTGCCTTTTCTCTTTTGATAACATCGCGAGCAGAAAACTTTCCATACTTGATTGATCGATTTCGATTTCAGTAATCAATTTATAATTCGTATAAAATCATTTATGTATGAAAAAAGAAATGAGAAGAGCCGCAATACAGGAGGCATAGTATATCTCGGTTTCTTTTGAGATATTTTACAAGAACTAATATCGCGAGAACAAATTCGATACCAACGCGCTTTCGCAAATTGCATCAAGACGATAAGAACATATACAGCGTCTTTCCAAATGGATATTTTTTTCGTTATTATTCAATAGATATAAACGATTAAGAAGTGGAAAAACGCAATAAAGAAAGACGTTTTTCTCGACATTTTCGTTGAAAAAAATTGCCTTTAAATAAAAAAAGAAACTGTAATTAACTATAATAATCGTATATACTGGCGTGCTTTTGGATCACCCTGTATATATGGCCAACAGATTCATTAACGAAATAGCGGTCTTTACGAAAATCCTGATGCCTTAACGACAAGCGAAACGGCCTTCGTAATGTGAAAAGTACACGCTCTCGTTCGTGGCGTGAGAGATCGCACGCACGCACGCACGCACGCACGCATTCACTCACACGTGTGCCACATAGATAACTTCCTTCGCAAGGTAGAAGAGAGGCGTACGACGCGTGTGCCAGACGGACGGCGCGGTATCAAAGGATATTTACCCTGTCAACAGCGTGGCTTTACGTGGCGGAGACGCCGCTACGTCTATAAGGGGAGAACATATAGTACTCACTCGTACCGAGATAATAGTAATGGGTATTATTACTCCGCTCTATTATTTTACGATGTAGCGCTTCCCGGGAATTGATACATTATCATGGAGTATTGCGCGCCGAGTCGAATCGCGCCGAGTCGAAACGAGTCGTGCGATTGACGAATGATTAAGAACGTAAATAATCATCATTTTTCCAAGATCCACTATCTACCACTCGATATATCGCCAATGTAAATCACACCGACGCGCTAATGGGAAATCGATAACGGATAGGAATAAAAGCAAATCGCATTAATCATGGTACTTGAGTTAAATTTCAAATGTAATGAGCAGAGTTAAGTATCGATTCCGAACGGATTATTCTTACCGAGTTTTTTTTTTCTTTTTTTTTCCCAAGGCGTACCCGATAATTAATATATCCGGAGAAAAATTAACAACTGTAACATTATTACGCTTAGTGAAAACCTATAATTTCAGTTTTAGAAATTAAAAACTGTTTTAGTCAGATAAGTGACACGTGTGCGATCGCGTATTTACATTTATTGTAAAAAAATTTATTGAAAAGCGAGAATTGAAGCGGCTCTCTCAAGTCAGTTACTAAGCAAGGTATTAGTGCTTAAATTAAACCAACATTTGCGTCATGGATGTCGCATACCAAATTAAGTTACGCTTAATTAACTGAAGATTCGATTTGTGCCAGGAATACAAAAGTCATGGCATAAATAGACTCTATTGTAATTTTCTCGGCTAAACTACTAATCGCTACTAATGGATTCATTCGATTTCTTTTGATCGAGACTCAGACTTATCTTCCTATGCATTATTTAATTCTAAAAATAATGAGAAAAAAACTCACTCTTATTTTGTTTACTTATGTATCAACAGCTTTAAATTGATGGATTCCGTGCATGATGTGATTTCAAAATTTTCAAATTTATTTCAAATTTATTTTATTATGAGCTTAATTATACATATATGTTATACACACGCGTTATCGAATTAATAAAAATATTATAGTTTGTGTGTTTCATGTGTGTTTTCGTTCACACAATGTAGCAATTTTGCCATATCAGTATATCAAAGAGATGAACATATCTTTCAGATGTTTATTTTCACTAATGTACTGAGATTAATATCAATCTTAATTTATTCTTTATCTTTTTCTTAGAATTAGAAGAAGATAAAAGATAAATCAAATAAAGTTAAATCAAGATTGAAGCTAATCTACGTTGACAGAGATGGGCAAGAGAGTCATGTTTATTCGTACGCTTTTAACGCAGAGTACGATTTAACTTACAAGAAAAGAGTAAATTGTAATTGTACGGGATCCACAATAGAAGTTGTAGAAAATTAATCACTCTAAATTTTTTGCAGTGAAATCTTACTCAAGAAAGCGAAAATACAACCTTCACTTCTTAAAAAAAAAGTGACAATTTTTACTCTTTTTAAAGTGATTTTCACTTCTTTGAAGTGAAATCTTATTTTTTTCTGGAGTGAGATTTTCATTCTAGAAAGAGTAAAAAGTGTCACTCTTTTATGAGAAGTGAAATATTTTTTACTTGTTTTCAAGGGTGGTTGTGTTTTCACTCTCTTGAAGTGAGATTTCACTGCAAGAAATTTAGAGTGATCACAATCGAATATGAGAAGAATAATTGACTATAATTGGTAAATTTTCTATGACTTAAGATCCTACGACTACTATATTGATATATTCTATTATAGACTCCGTATAAGAGTTTCGACAATTCCTAGTCGAAGACTAGTCAACTACTTACCTGCATCTGAAGCCACGAGTAGTCGATGTAGGCGGTGGTAGTGGCAGTGACAGCTCCAGTGATCCCGGTGATCCCAGTGGATCCCGTTGACGAGATCTGCTGCCAGCTATCCTGCGCGTTGCATCCGAGAACCGTCGCAAGGGGTCCGTCGGGCTGGGCCCGATCGGGCACTATCTGATCGGCGGCGTACTGAGCGACGTAGGACGGCTGGATCGTCGGCGGCTGGACACCGACGGCGGACGGTAAACCGGGCAGAGACGCCGGATGAGGGTGCTGCGTAACCCCCGTGGTGGCCGCGGCACCGGCGGGCAGACAGCACACGCTCGCGTCCATCCGTGGCGGCGGAGAGTCGTAAAAGCGTAGCTGTTCCGGCTCCGGTTCCGGCTCCGGCTCCGGCTCCGGCTCCCGTGTCGTCGTCCTGCCGAGGATTAATCCTCGCGGCACCATCCAACCTACAACCGTTGCCGCGCCGTGATATTCACCGGCCGACGGCTGAGAGGATCGATTCGCGGATCCTCGGATCCCTCCTTCTTCGATTCTATTTATTTAGATCTTTCGTCCAGGTCTTTCTCTTCAGGTCGATCGAGGTAGAGGACGAAAACGTATTATAACCATCTTCCGCGGAGGCACAGCTGGTGCAGAGTCTTCGTTGAGGACGTTGTTCTCCGAGGGTTAATTTTTCAAGTATTATCCAATCTATGGTTAAGAATTTCCACTGGCTCTCGGGGTAATGTCGACGAACCAATTTTCTCTCGATCGGATTCTTCCTTTTTAGATTCTGAATCCGTCCTTTCTCCGGATGGACCGTGATAAAAAACGGAACATCACTATCTCGGCTGACTTTCACGTAATGTCACTTCGATGATACTCGGTGATCACGACAAGTCACGTACATCGGAATCGTGTTGACGTCCCGCGCGTCGAATCCAAGGAATTCCGTGCGCAAAACACTATCCCGCACCAGGCTGCCGAGTGCTCGTTGAATGTCATTGCGAGCATCCTGTAAAATCGCGTCCTGTAAAAAAATAGACGCGTTCTCACTATTAGTCCAAGTTATTTTTTCTCGATAATAAAAGAGTACTCCGATCGGCGACGTCGTCGTCGTTGTCGTCGTCGCCGACGCCGCCAACGCGCCGCTGTCGGGGGGCACTAACGTGAGCAGAGAGAAGCATTCGATTCCGATTTCGAAATTAAAACACGAGTCACTGATGATACTCTCCGAATTCTCGCGGGAACGCGTTTCCCAAACGGAGACATTGAATAAGTTCGAAACTATACAGTTTGATCCGTTCGGGCACTGTGCGATGTTCACGTAGAAGATCGATTATAATCAGATATTTCCGTGAGAAAAATGTTCCTCCTGCAAGAAATCGTCATCGTGTCGATCGATGGGGCATTCCTATACCCAATAATTTTCTTTGTTTTTCTTTCCAAACAAGAAATCCTTTCACCTGTCGACAAAACACTTTCGTCAGCTTAGCCGGCACTCGCGACAAATCTCGAACGTACGGTTTCCAACGTAATTAAATTTCCGTGAAATACAAGCCGAGAGGAAGGCGATTCCGCGCGCGCGTTCGCGAATGATCGAGTACGCCGATCGTGGTCGACCGCCACAAGATTCGCGAAATGACGTTTCTCGACGATGACAGCGCGCACTCCCGTTAACGCGTTGATGCTCGCGCGTGCTCGCCACGAAGGACCACGAGGATGAGGGCGGAGAGAGAGAAAGGGTGGGAGAGAGAGAGAGAGAGAAGACTTGCGAGAAGGCGAGGGTGGTGGTGGTGGTGGTGGTGGTGGTGGTGATGGTGGTGGTGGTATCGGTGGTGGTGGAAAGGATGATGATACGGAGGCGAGGGTGACGGATGAAACTGGCGCGCACGGTACAACTCTTGAACTGCGCTCGCGTACCGTCCGCGCTGCGCACGCGCATGCGTGGATGCGTGTCGTCAAGGCAACGGTTCCAGAGTAACTGCTTATAGCGAACGCAGCTTACGCAGCCCTCCGCTCCGCGACGAGCAGCGGCGAGTGTGTGTCGCTTCTCTCTGTCTCTGTCTCTCTCCCACGTTCATTCCCGATCTCGCGCGCCTGGCTCACGCCCCGAGTGCGACCGATTCGAGCGGTCTAGGCGGCCATCGAGCGCACGCCCCCGTCCTGACACCGCGCGAGCGCCTCTCTCTCTCTCCCTCTCCCTCTTCCTTAACCGTGCCGCTCGTCTTATCCCCCCCTCCCCTCTTTCTCTCTCTTTCTATGCTCGTGTCGAGTATTCATCCGCGTATATACACACACTTTCCCCCTCCCGCATAATAATGTTCTACCCTACTCACTCACCTTCGGTCTCCTACGATTCTGCCGTCTCGATCGAGCGAGCGTTCCGCAGATCATCGCGTCCTTCTTCCGCACAAACATTGGACACAACGCAAGGCGAATCGCCCGCGCGTCTCAACAGCGTGCGATTATCGACGTGAACTATCGAGGGTCTCCTACCTCCGCCGACTTTGGCACACTTCTCTCAACGTTCCTCTGTCCTCCTCTTTCTCCCGATTTCTCCCCGCCGATTTCTGCCGCTTTCGCGGCCCTGCCGTCTCGCGATTACTTTCTTCCATCTCATCGTCGACCGAATCATCCCTCGAATACACCACCGTCTAAACCTCCCGTCGTGTCGCGACATCGATGAGATCACGACGAAGATACGGCGAATTTTGAATTCATAAGAGAACAAATCGCGATACGCGCGCCACGTCACGTGACTGACGTCACGCGCGCGACTCACCCTGCCAGCGCGAAATAACGACCGGTTTGAAAATGGCGTAATAATTAATTTTGAAACAATACCACATGATGTAACTAACCGTCGCAAACGCCTTGACACGTAAAACTCTGCACCAGTTTCAAGCGTACTTGAAGCGTCACACCCTGTGCCTATAGATCACGATTGTTGGTTAAAACATTCAAGATTGTATCTTTATTTTTATTTGACATCGCGTAGCTGTGTTTATCTTAATTTCATGTATTTCCTGCAAAATGCTAAACCATTTTAGATAGAGCTCTGCAGTCACGATTGGTGCATAATTTTGCGTTTTGAGCCATTTATTATGCCGTTATAAAATAATATGTATAACTAGTTCGATCACGCACCCAACTTTCTCCCAATTGGAAGGCTGTACTGGAATTTTCGCATGGACAAATTCATCATGTGTTGTTTTCAACCTGAAACGCGAAAGGATTCACAAGCAAAGAACGTGATAAAGAGTCCAGTTAAAAAGATATCAATATGCATTTTGATATTTTCATTAGATACACTTCCTTTAATCCTTGTGATTTTCTTTTTTTTTCATATGTTTTCTTATATATTAGGTGTGAAAAAAAGTTCATAGCGTTTTTTTAATGTCATCTAACGGGAAAAACGCCACGAACTTTTTCCCACCTAATATTTGTGCTCGTTTAACTTTCAGTTTAACTTTAATCTCGATTTAATTTACTTTTTATCCTTTTCTAATCCTATACTGAAAAAAGTTGATTGAATCTGAAATTTAACGAATACAACATATTCAATCAGACATATTTGGTTGCATAAATTTTGATGAAAATATTTTTGATTAAAAAATAGATTATTTAATTATGATAAGTAGAAAATCTGTTTAAATCTATCAATATTTCTTTAACCGGTTTACATGTCACATTAATCCGATCATGCTCTTTTTCTTTTGTAATCATAATAACCTGCTTATAGATATTATTATTACATATGCACTAATGAAACTCTAACCGGTATCATATCTACATATGTTTGGTTGTACGTGTTTCAAAATAATTGATTATAATAATTAAAAATTCTATTTACTTCCATCAAAGTTTATTCATCATATCTCGTTAATTTAATTACGATTTTTTTTTCATAAGAATGTATACTGAGTAATAGATTAACGATATTCTGGATTTAATTACAATATTAATATCAACTCATAATTTATTGACTACATTTGTTGTACACTGAAGATCGAATTCTTGAGATCGAAACGTCTGTAAACTGAATTTTGAATGTATTGAATTTTAATCACACGAAAATTTTGTGTTGGTTCAATTTTGTTTGGCTGCATTTTTATATCATTTGATTTACTCCTTGCCTGTTTGTCTTACTATTTTTTTTTCATGTAAAAAAAGCTAAGGAGAAAAAGGAGTGAATAGTCGGATAGAAACAAACATTAATTAGAATATTATGTTACAAACGCACGTTAATCTTTTTAACTTCACCACAGATATAACAATGTGCTTTATCGACAGTTATATTGTAACAACGATAATGGTGAACACACGGGCGTAGTCAAAAGGGGGCAGGAGATCAATAATAAAAAAAAAAAAAAAACGAGTCAAACAATCTATATCATTCGATCATCCTCTTCCTTCCTCCTCGGGTTCAAAAGTCTCAACTCTAATTTAAACCCTTAACAAAATTCTGATTACGCCTATGGGTGAACAAATCGATTATTAAATCTGGAAACGGGTCTCGTGATGAATCTATGCCTACGATGACGGCGGGGGATGCCGAGAGATCGAGTTAACAAAGTTAGCGAGCGTTAATCGTATTCCGCAAATCGCCGCGACTCCGATTAGTCGAGAATGCGACGCGCTTCTCGCGAGTCGCGATATATCCGCGCGCGTCCATAATGCGATCGCATCGCATAATGTAATACACGAGAGATGGAGAAGCGGACGCATGCATCTCTCTCTCTTTCTCTCTCTCTCCCCCCCCATCCCCCGCTCGCCCGCCAGTGTCCTCTCTTCTCCTCGCCTTTCCCTCTTCCTCGCGACCGCGACGAGGCAGAAAGGTTCCCTTTCTCTTTAGATTGTGAAACGATTTTCTATCGCGGCGCTTTAACTCCGCGCCGCGCGGATTTATTATATATGCAATGGGTTACGCAAATTACGACAAAGTGCAAATATTTCACATGACCTGCACCTGCGTGACTCCCCTTTCTACACGTGATCGTTTAACCAGGCACGTGAATCGTGACGCGCGCGTTGTGTATATATATATACGTGCAACGCTCGAAATTCCGACGAGTTTCCTGGGATCTAGAAGTAATCCCTCCGAAATGTACGCAATACAGCGCGAATTACATTCCTTATGCCCGCCGACCGAGGGAGACGTTTTCTGGGAACTGGATTACTTCGAGAGAGATAATGAGCGCGAGTATATAACTTATAAGTTTCGGAAATCCTTTTTTCCTCTCTCGTCTCGTAATAACGCTGTGCGATATCAATGATATTATCAAACCGCACGATGCGATCGCAAACATTCGCAAATTTGCTTTTCAAATTTGAGATTAACTCGTAATGACGATAAAGAAAACGATTCGTGACATATTGCTTGTGACTGACAATGAACACTTAATATTTCCTTTTTCCTTAGTTTACTATAATTACTTCACGGTACGCCGTTGGCAAAGTAATGGAATAATTATGAGGCAGATAGTCACGGGAGAAAATTAAATTACCGTAATTTAGAGAAAATTAATACGAAAGGCTATTTACTTATAGACTGAAAGAATGACAAGTTTGCGTGATAAAACGCAATGACAGTGAAATGTCATCGAGTTCAGGATTAAAAATGACCCGGCCCGAGATCCAGGTAGAACACAGAGTCATAATTAAGTCATAATGATATCATAGGATGTTATCATGATGTCATTTATATGATATTTGAAAATGAACTTATAAATGACAAATAAGGTTATATAATAACCCCAAGCAGAACAACAAGTCACGATAATGTTAAAATGACATTAAAATGAATCGGAAATGACTTTTAATTGTCATTTTGACATTATTTTGATATCATAATGATTTGTTCTGCTTGGAATGTCTCCAAGATATTACGACTTGTGACTTGACTTATTTGAGGGAAACCTCACGAGACACTCTCTCCGAACTCGGAACAATACTGAATACGGGACAGCGAGCAAGCGAATGACGAGCGCCGAGCTGACCAGTGAGAATTTAGCCGCGAGCCGCGAGACGCAGCGGCAGGAATACCAGCGATACCGCCGCGCACACCGCTCTCCCCCACCTACGTCCCCCGCGGAAGCGACGCGACTTATGAATGGGAGTAGTACTCGCCCATTGGTCGCGCCCGATAGCCAATGGCGGTCGACTCGCATTCGCAAGCACGGCGCGCGCGGGCAAGTAAAGCGAAACGATCATGTAATAAGTATATGTGCATACTGTACGTATATAGGTACACAAACATACCTATATATGTCTATCGAGAATATAGCGACGAGAAGATCGAGACGAGATATCGAAGTAAATCAACCGGATCCTATTAATACCATGCCGTGCTACTGACTTTTCTGGAAAAATTACTAATCGTGTGAAATCGCTTTAAATCGTAACTCAAAGACTCCGAGACCTTTAAACGGCTGGGAAACGCGGAGCGCTTATATTATGGCTTATATTATTGCCTCGCCGTTTATCTATATTTTATCTTATAATTACGTAAATAATTACTATCGTCGTTTTTTCCTTTATCGTAAGACTCGCCAAAGTAAGGATTTCACACGAGTCAAACTTATCGTGCAGAAATCGGATAGATAACAAAGTCGAGAACAAAATGCTGGTTGCGCATGAAAAGGCACGAAAGGCGTTACGATTCTTAACTCGACCCGAAGGCAAGAACGGCAATTCCAATTTCTCCGGGACAGCGATTAAGTCGCTCGATGACAAGAGGGTGGCGGAGATAATTGCACTCACGACTCGCGAGCAATGCGCGAGGAAAATGTAACGACTTGCTGGCGGAGTCGATGCAAATCAAGAAGCGCGAGTTGTCGTATAACAAATACCGAACGGCAATTATTGTTAACTTATGGAAAATATAGGGAACGAGCGCGCGCGGCGACGACTCTTATGACAGGGAAGTGAGCGAGGTTTCTATCCTGGGTACGTCAAGGTGACAACACACGGCGGGGATGACACCATAGTGTCGGGATGACGGAGACGAGAGCTCGCTGTATCACCTAGCGTTACATTATATCGCGTTACTTTGCGAGCGAGAGAGCGAGAGAGCGAGCTGCATTTACGCGCATTTATGACCTGGCGTCATCTATCAATTAGCCGCCTCATAGCCGTTTGTGTCTCACCGCTATCTCGCGAGATTATGACTCAATTATGAGTGGTAGGACACAAGTTACATCTCGCGTTTCCATCTAAGCTCGTGAATCATTCAACACATCGTTTAGACAATAAGAATGCGGTATTTGTCGCGCAGAATTCAATTGTATTGATATGATTACTGCAAACGTGATTTATATATCGTTTATTTTATTCATATATTTAGTAAAATTCAAACTTTCTTGTCACATTTGCAGTGCAATCTATGTATTCATATATATATATA